TATGTAAAAAAATCAGAGAAGAGGAATACAAGTTGTGAGGGAACAGGGACAGTATGGGAGGAGTTGGAGAGGAGCAGCAAAGGGTGGAAATGAAGGAAATACAATACTCGTTATGACATTCTCAAAAATAATAAAATCATACTGCTTCTGTGAGTTTCTTTGTATTTATACTAGTATCTAAACATTGATAGTGAGAATTTTCCTTCAAGGTGAGCTCATAAAACAATAATGTTCTCCAGTGGACCAACATCAGTTATTGAAGTACAGGAAATAAGCATTGACATGATGCTTTGGTCCAAACATTATTCAAACGTTACCATTTAACAACAAATAAATGGAAAGACAATTCCTTCTTCCTTGCGCACGCTCCACGGCCAAGCCACCCAGGGATTCAGCTGTCGTGCACCATTAATCTTTTTTATCTGAATGCACTTCCACTTTTTCTACTTATTCATAGGTTTGATCTTTTGTGACTTTGACATTTTGAAACTTACAATTTGTTTTCTAGAATGTCTCCCAGTTTTTATTTGTCTAATATTTTTCTTTATTAGATTTAAGCCCTACATTTTGGAAGAAAAACTACAAAAATGATATTCAGTCCTTTTCAGTGAACCATTAAAAGAAGCATCCAACGCTCCTCAATAGCTATTAAACAAACTATGCAAAGCTCCCTGATAAATGGGCTTTCTTCCTGAATCTCAAAAGCCCATTTACTCATTTCATTTACCAGAGTACTTAAGAGATGTATGACAGGTGCAAGGTATCATATATGCAATATATTCTCATAAAATTCTCAAGATCAATGGTTAGATCCAGGCAAGGTGGGAAAAAGGTGAGAGAGGAAGCAAATGTGAAGAAATGTTAACCCAGGGAAGCTGGTAAATGGCACAAACTTTGAACACTGAGAATAAAATACATTCAACATAAACATTTAATAAATATCAATCTAAGCAAATTGAATCTTATGCTTATCTTACCCGATATCTAATATAACTAACAAATAAATGTTATCTATTGTGAATAACTGAATATTCCTTTCTCCAATACTACCATTCTATTAAGTTCACAAACCAGAAATAAGAAGTGGGCAGTTTGGTTTCACAAAAGTAAGGTCACTATAGAAATGGGCCATAGACACACCTAGGTTTTTGGAAATCACAAATTAGCTATATATTGTGTATTGAAATTTAAATGGCCAGTGAATTCAATCTTTAGTTTACTCTGACATATTCACTGAGTATGTTGCTGGGTCTCATGTGTGTGATTATTAATTTTTTATAATTTTTTTATGTGTATGAGTATATCATTTGCATGTATGTAAGAGCACCCATGTCATACAGTGCCCATGGAGATCAGAAGAGGACATTAGATCCCTTGGAACTAGAATTAGAGATGGTTGTTAGCCTCCATGTGGTTGCTGGGAAGTAAACCTGGGGTCCTCTGCAAGAGCAGCCACTGAGCTATCTCTCCAGACCTGTGATTATTATTTTTATTCTTTGTTATGTTTTTAGGTAGTATCTCTCTCTGCTGGTAATTATTTTTAATTATTTTTAGCATTTTATGTTTTTTACTTATAAAGTTAAGTGATGTCTAAATGCATACATTTAATCTCCATTGGGGGTGCTGGATATGTACATTATGTTTTACAGAATACAGATGACTGAGGCAGGTGTTTGCAGAGTTCCGATGCAGCAGTCTGCACCAGGCTCCTGGAGACAAACCAGGAGCCAAGTGGACTGACAGGAATCCATAGCAGGCCCCTCACCTGCTGTGTCCTTCCCAGCTGTTTCTGAGGATATCTAAAGGTGACTCTGGAGTTTAAGACAACCAAGGAAAAACTGTCTTCCCCAAAAGTCTGGGGCCTGGGGATGTAGAGGCAGAGTGTCATTGAATAAGACCACTTCCAAAAGCATGAGATGAATCCTTACATAAGGACAAGGAAGGCAAGGTGAAGGTTCGGAGGACCACATGGAGATCTCAGCTCTGGGAATATGACTGGCTTTGGGAAACCTGGAGAAAACTAAGACAGCCCCTAGCACGAGTGCACACAAGGAAAAGAACTGAGAGACATGACTGGCAAGACGTCAGATAGTTCACGCAAATCCAGAACCTCAGTGAGCCCAGCAGCTGTCAGCTCAGGGGTAGAGCCAGGTCTGACATGGGTTTTCTGAAAAGGAAATGTTGTCTGAACATCACAGCTTTCTAAGTAGTGGGACTGTCAGGGGAGTATTCACTGACCTGTGGTCGCTTCCATCATGTGTAAACTCCTCACACTGGGTTCTTTGGGGTTGGGAGGTTGGGTTCACCTTCTACATGCTTGATAGTAAATTAAATGTACCTTACAAAACAGTACTGAGTCAGCTCTTCTAATGTGAAAAGGTAACAGATATGTTAGGTGAGAAAAATAAAGAGCTGGGCAGTATGATTTTGCATGCTGCCACCGTGTGTGTGTGTGTGTGTGTGTGTGCGCGCGCATATGTGTGTAGGTCACTTCAGTCAGTCACTGACTCCCTTGCTTTTGAAACAGCATCTCTCACTGGCCTGGAGTTTGCTAAGCAGACTAGGCTAGCTGCCCAGGGAGCCCCAGGGATCCACCTGTCTCCAGGTCCCCAGTGTTGGGATCACAAGGCTCTATTACCCAAATTCTTTTACCTGGCCCCCCACTCCCACCCCCTGTGGATCCTGGGGATTGAACCCAAGTCCTTATGTTTAGCTGGCGTGCACTTTACTGACAGAGCCCTGCAGGCCATTAGTTGTATTTATAAAAATGATGTGACCCTCTGTCACTCTGACAATTGTTCTCTCATTTTGGAGTATAAACAAGATGAGAGCTGTGTAGAACCTTGTGCCAAGAGGGGCTGTGTCCTTTAGGCATCTCCTTCCCAGAGAACTTTTTTGCATGTGGGGACAGGTAAGCTGACTTTGGCCATCCTGTATCACTGAGTGAAATTTCTATTTTCCATTCTCTGAGAAGGTGAGTTTATATTTTCTGAGAGTAAGTACATAAGTATTGAAAAAAAAAAAAAGATTACTCATGCTTTACGATCCTAAGTGAGCTCTGGAAAGATTCATAAGATTCCGTGTGAATGCCTTTGAGGAACACAAGGGGATGCTGGGGATAAGGGTAAGGGATAATTCCTTTCCACTGAATAATTTGCTTTTTATTTTTGTGATTTTTTTGTGTTATGTCTACATAGCAGCATTGAAAATAAACTAGCTGGATGTGGTGGTTCACACTTGTAACTCAATATTTGAGACTTTGAGACAAGAGGATTTCTGTGAGTTTGAGACAAGCCTGGGCAGTAAGTTTCAGGTCAGCCTGGTCTAGAAGAGACCCTACTGTAAAAGTAAAAATAAAAAATAAACTAGAGTAATTTCCAAGACTAAGTGTTAGAGTTCTAGGCATCATGTTGCTATTTTTTAAAATGTTATCTTAAAATCTCCCTGTTTTCTCTCTTTTTGTTTAAGATTTATTTTTAGTTTATGTGTATGAGTGTTTAACTGTATGTATGCATATATGTGTGTACCTTATGCCTGGTGCCCTTAGAGGCTAGAAGAGGGTGTCAGATACCCTAGAATTGGAGTTACAGATGATTATAAGCTATCATGTGGGGTCTGGGAATTGAACCTGGGTCCTCTGCAAGAACAGCCAGTGATCTTAACTGCTGAGTCTTCTCTACAACCCAATACTGTAGCTTTAAGAATAACCTAAATGTAGGGCTGGAGAGACAGCTACCGTGGTTAAGAACACTGGCTGCTCTTGCAGAACTGACCCAGGCTCAATTCCCAGCAGCTACATGGCAGCTAACAACTGCCTATAACTCCAGTTCCAGGGGATCTGACACCCTCTTCTGACTTCCTCAGGCATTGCACAACACGGGTGCACTTAACATAGAGGCAGGCAATAAACTCAGACACATAAAATAAAAATAATAAGTAAAATATTAAAAAAGAATAACGTCAATGCTGGAAACTGCTAGTATTTACATCTCCTTTTGAGTTTCATACTAGTTTGTCTCATGGCTTACCTGAATAGCCCACAGACATTTCCCCAAATGGCAAAGCCAGATAACTCGTTCTAACTCTTGCTCTTCCCTCACAAACATTTTCTCATCGTCTTCCTCATCTCCCTGACTGTGGTCCCATCCACCCTTCTGTCTAGGCAGCCATTTCAGAGTCAACCTGGATGCTTCCCTTCCCCTAGAGCTGCCTCCACAGTGCAGTCCTGCTGCCTACCTCATTTGCATACTTTCCTTTTGGAGCTCTGACTCCCCTTTGCGATTCCAAGGCACCATCTTCGCTGATCGCCCGTACCTCTGTTCAGACTTTCTCAGTGCCATTATTCAAATATTCTCCTGAAAGCTCACAGTTCAAGCAGATCCACCTGATAGTGTGTTAAAAGTCTGTTTTCCGTTATAGCTGGCTAACCTTATAATTGCACCTTCAAATTTGTCCTTACCTGCATTTCTTCTTTTTTTGGATTCTAATGTCTGCATTTTTTCAGGTTTCTGTGCCTTCAGTCTAGCTAAATGCCTGGCACAAGGAATATGATTAATGAATGACTTTCCAATGGATGCATAGTCTAACAGACGAATGTGCTGCAGATACTACGGAGGAATGACAGGCATCTTTAGAATGGCTCTTTGCAAATGTAAAGTTATATCCAGGCAAAGACCAGATACAAAATGGGCATAAGAGGGTATTTTCATGTGTGAATAGGGGTAGGCATGAAGAAATTGGACAACTGGGGTAGACAGGGGCAGTACTGAAGGGACACATAAGTTGAAAGAGGTGAAGGATGGGCTTGATTCCCTCACCTGTAAAACAAGTGTGAATTAGGTCATTTGCTGTGATTACAGGACTCACTGCACAGTTATACCAAAGCTTGCCCTACAGCAGGAAAACCACCTCCTTTTCCTCTTCTTAGGTATTTCAGAAGACATATGAAGTCATACAGGTAGGGAAAATACATGTCCTTCTTGAAATAAACAAGCAGAATATCATGATTAAATAAACCATATATCATCTTTATTAAATAACAAGAAATAGTCCACATAGCTACAGTCACTTAACTGTGGTCCAGGAGTGCCTCCCCTCCTCGCCAAGTGACAAAATACAAGTCAGCAGCCCTTCTGAATGCTCTATGATAACCTGAGGCTGAACAGGAGGGTGCTTAGCCCCCAGTTTGTGTCTGCCACAGCACACAGTGGAGGAAACACAGCACTTCAAGTCACAAAGACTTAGATGAAGAACTTCAGTTAACACACATTGTGTCTTCCTGGCACCTCTCCTAACAATTAAACCAGCTGTTACTCTTCAAAACATGGGTCACTTTCTTTGCATTTGGGTCAAACTCCAGCTGTGAAGATCCTCTGAAGAAATAGAAAAACCCTGCAAATACAGACAAGAGAAAAACATG